CAGTTTGTTTTGAAGTAATAAAATTGCAGTTAATTGTTCTGTGAAGTTAAAAGAAGGAAAGATGTTAAGGTTAAATGAAACTTTAATGACTTGAGATTTGGGGTTGGGTTGTGGTTTCCTTTGATATTCTCAAAGCATTTAGTTAGTATGGAGTAAAATGTGCTGGAAAAAGAGCCACCCTCTACTCCTCCAGCCTTTCCGTGCCCCACAAAACACACAAACCAACAATAGTGTCAGTTCTGCAGCTGAATTGTGTCTTTATCTTCTCTTGCAGGTCTGCTTTAAATCTGATTGCAGTGATGATGAGCAGGAGTCCTCCAGGCTTTAAATCATTTTACTCTCATCAGAAAGGATGAGCAAACTTTAAATGTTTTATATCTCTGTAGCAAAGTGTATTATATATATTTTTTATCTGAGTTCAAGGATTTTTGTACATTTGTACTTGATTTGTTTTAAGATGTATATTTTCACTAAAGCTTAATTGTACAAAAAGCAATGAGTGCCATTTGAGTGAGTGTGTTTCTGTATCTATTTGATTTATTTTGATTCTTTTTTTTTCCCCGTGGAATGAATCTAGAAATACTAAAAGGATTTTAAAGCACAGGGATAATATCTATGGCATCAACGTAATTTGACTTTGTATGCTCCTGGTAAAACTCTTCTTGTTCATTAGGATCTTTATTGCCAATTTTCTTAACAGTAAAATTGCTGTACTGATAAATGTCATAATTCTGGTATTGTCCAGCAGCGTGACAGTGCTACTACCTGATGTATCTCTCAAACAACTGCTAAGGAAAAAAGGAATTCAATGCACTGCGGCCAGCTATTATGAATTGCTCTTTACTATCTGGCTCTGTAGAATGTCTTTCTGTATTTCAATATATAGGGAATTTTGAACATTTAGCTTAATTCTGTAAAAAACTGTATTACCCCATTCTTCTCCTTTCTACCCACCTTACACATCCTCTCCATACAGTTTCTTGGCATGGACTATGAAAGTAGACCTATGCCAAAATTTTATAACTATATTTTGAATACTTTGTTGTCTTTGCTAAAAAGATTTCTTTTTACCTGTGGGGACATTTCTTTTTTTCTTTTTTCTTTTTTCAGTAAATGAAATTGTTTACAACTCCACGTAGGATGTTATAGTTGTATAATGGGTTAGAAAACAAAGCATGGGCTCTTCTTACTACCCTCCCCTCTGCTTATTACATTGTAATACTCAATGTTGTAGAGTTGACAGCAATCACTGCCACTGAGGAAAGGACAAGGTAGTATTCAGTGTTGAATTTAATTATGTAAATAATCTTTCCTTGTAACCTTCAAAAATTTAAACGTTAAAACCTGCCTTTAACAATTGCTTAAAGCAGATCTGGAGATGGTATTCAAGTTTTAGTTATTATTACCTGATGCTCTTTAGTAAAAATGTTTCCAGCTGCTTGAAAGCTCATCAACCTTCCATTCTTCTGGACTCAAAGTATGCCAGACTTTCTTTTTGTTTTGTAAATTTTCCAGTAAAACTATTAATCTCTGTATGAGAATTAATTTAGGGAACACGTTTCATTAAGACCCTCTTCTGTTTTCAAAATTTGAGTTAGGGACTGGAAATAAAATGAAGTGCTCTTGGAACTGGAGACATAACTTTTGTTACATATTTTGTTCTGTATTCTGAAGATTTGTCTCCACTGAGCATGCATTTTTTTGTTCCTCTCAAATCTCTAGGGTGTCAACCAGACCACACGTATTATACGCAAAGAGCAAATGAATATTGCTCTACCTCAAATAAGTTTCTGCTTGTGATCCACAGACCCACTGGAAGAAACTTAAGCTGCTTCTGAGAAACTCACAAGATGCATTTGATGCTCAAGCCAGGTTTTAATTCACAGTATTTTGTCTCTAGTGACAAATGTTTTAATGGGTTAGAATTTGAAAAAAGTTGGAAAACCAGTGTGTGACAGAATCTTACTGGGCCTGAGCTGGTGCCTATCTGAAATTGTTCCTCTTGGCTATTGTGCCACAGAAATAAGGAATGAGACTCTTCTTCTGTTTTCAGTGCATTTTTCTGATGCCTAAAACAGCACAGAGGATGGCAAAATGACTGCTGTTGAAAGTATAAAGGGAGAAACTGGCAGAGGGAGAGTTTGAATGAATTAGTGGAAGATAGTGTGATGCAATAGAGAAGGGATGGGAGGCTTGACAAAAAGAAGTATCTGGCGTGGTCTGACCTGACCCTCTTTATGATGTACCACAATAACAGAAGGACTCTAAAAAGATGGGAACGGAGAAATAGGGAAGTAATAAAAGTGTTTTATAAATACCTGTCTGGTTGGAGAAGTGATTGTGTTTCTTTGATTGAGGGGTTTAATTTTTTAAGATCGTAGGTTTTCTGTTCTGAGGCAAAGGTGACCATATTAACACTAGACATATGGGATGACAGTCTGGATTTAATGCCTGCTTAGAGCAACGTGAAATTGAAGCAAGAATACCATGGACACAGGCTGAGTAATTTTTATGAAGAAAATAACTAAAATACTCTAACTTCTTTATGAAGAAATTGGCTCTAACAAATAAAAAAAAAATCTGAAAGTCTATTTATTGTGTATTTCAAAATTTCTTTCCATATTGGAGGAGGAGGGATCTTACTTTGAAAAAAAGAAATAAAATATAATCAACTTCTCTATTTTGGACTGCTGAAACTTAACGCTTATTCTCCAGGGACCTGCGAAGAAAAAAGGCTAGATGAAGAGAAAAGGGAAGTTGCTCCTAAGAAATGGTTATTTATACATCTGCTTCTTTGGACAAGGAACTCCAACCATGCAAGGAAGTGAAGAGTTTGTTTGGTTTTATGATGCTTTGTTTAGATGCATTTCACAAGTTTTTTGTTATGTTCTGAATAATACTATTCAGTTGTTTTTGAGTAACTGCATGTTTGCAGGATGAGGACCTAAATTTTTGGTTTGGCTTTTTTTTGTTTGGTTGGTTTTGGTTTGTTTGTTTTTTTTCCCAGTGGGCTCAAGATGGCGTTTTTCTACTATAAATTTGTCCCTTTTGGCTAGAAATGTAACCACATAATAATGACTAGATATTATGTAATGTGAATCCCCTAAGGAGTTAGAAAAGACAAGAAACTGGAAGGATCAGCATAACTGTCCTTGCACAGTAGGTGGAGATCAAGGTGTTACGTTGTTTACTCTGAGGTGACTAACATTGATAAAACGTCTATGCTGGAGTAGTAGTAGCTTGGAGATGCATTTTGAAAGCGGGGAAAGGGTAGGGAGAGGGGAGAGCACCTGAAAGCAAAATATTGTGTGATAAATTTAATATGAACTTTGCTCTTGATTTTTGTAGAACACAAGTTAAACAAAGAAGGGGGAAAGCAGCTGGTTGCGTTTACTGGTTCTGTAGCCTTTTATTTCCATGAAGCCAATTTAAAAAAAAAAAAAAAAAAAGCCAGTGTAAATTCTCGTCATTCAGTATTACTTCATTATACCTCCATGAATTCAGATTCTAGATCCATGTGTTAGAAGGCTTTAATAGTAGTGAGACAATCCAACAGCCTGACTGCGTGGTTCAAGATATGGGGAGATGTATGGAATCTCACGGAGTTGGTTGCATGAGATCAGGCTTCCTTTGCTGTGGCTTGTGTTTCCAAGCATTTGTGTAAGTCTTAACATCAGCTTGTGTGTACCTCATGAATCCATGTATTTAGCTCTAAATTCAGAAACTATGAAACAACGTGCCAGTATCTTACTGGTTTACTTAATATTTTTGAATGTTGTGATCAACAGAATAGAATCTTCATGCCTCAGGGTTGTTTTCTTTCTATAAAAAGAATTGTCAGGTTGTTGGTTTTTTTTCCTCCAGAGGAGTAGTATTCATAATGGAGATGGTGTTATGTTTCTGAATTATAACAACAACAAAACAGTCTCACTTGAAAAAATGAGCACTTAAAAATAATTGCTGTGCAAATTAGGAAAAAAAACCTGTTGTATTTCTATAACAAGGAGAGGACTATTGATGAATCCTAGCCTTTAATAGAAGATGTTGTGTGTCTTTTTTTTTTCCCAAATTATTCTTAAAACAATAGATCTGAAGGTTTTTTTATTACGAGAGTTATCTCCGTCAGAATAAAATTATGTCTAATTTGGGAAACCAATGCTAGAAGCTATTAAAAACAACTAAAAATTCATTTTTAGAATGCACTTCAATTGTTTTTCAAACAGTACTGATGCAAGAAATTTCTCACTGCCATTTGTACAAACGAATAATACTGTTTACAAGTTACTAAAGTCAACAGAAGTTAATAATATTTTGTTTTGGTTTATGATTTAGTATTACACTAATTTAACATTGGGATTATCACCTTCACTTTAGTATAGATTTTCAGAAAATACTTCTCTTTAGGAAGTGCTAAAAAAAGGAATTAAAATTTGAAAATTAATTAAGCAACTTTAAGCTAAATTTGTTTACTTTGGTTTGAATTACCTACCTGGCTCATTTGGGTGGTGATGATGTCTCTTCTGCTGATTGTGCAATTCTTTTTTATTTCATAATTATTCTTACGGTGTAACTTAAGTTTTGCTCATGAGATATAGGCAACTTTTCTCATGTTCCATGTGTCCAAACACCAGAATTCTTTCCAAGTATAGTGAAGCCAACTGTTAAATGTGACGTGTTAGTTCCAGTATCTCCAAGCCACTGAAATGTTCTTGTATGAGCTGTTTTCCTGGATGTTCTAGCATTGTTATTCCTGAAATAAAAGCAAAACACTGCTACGTATCTCAACCACATCTATTACTGTCTAATGTGATTTTTTTTTTTTTTTTACCATGTCTATCATGGTAGCTGGGATAGATAAAAAAATGTGATTTGTAAAAAAAAAAAAAAAAAAAAAAAAAATTGCAATTTCTTGAAGCAGAAAATTCGTATTACATGCTGTAAGTTCTTTACCAATGTAAGATTGTCAGATCCAGGAAAAATTGCCTTAGCTCTGATGTATTTGCTCAACTGATACCTTGTCTCATGGTCTGAATCTTGATTGCCACATAAATTTCTGTGTGAAAAGACAGGCTTATCAGGATGGGCTGTTTTTCATGAACACGTTTGCTGCGATAACACTAGGAACGTGAACACCAGACTGGTCAGGAGTAGTTCTAGCTCTGCTTGCCATCAGCCTTATCATGCACATTGAATTTTCTGCTGTTGCCAAAGGAAACTAACCAGACTTCTCCTTGAGAGAATTTGTACCTTGAAATCAGTTGGGTTTGTGTTTTTTTTTTTTTGTGTCAAATACTTTTCAACAGTAAGCTGCTTGAATTTTCAGCACAGTGCCCTGAAAGCCTGAAAGGCTTTCACTGTGATTTTTGTGACGTGAGTCGAAGGGCTAAGCACTCAATTACTGTACAAAACAGCTTCAAATAAAGTGACTTTAACAATAATATAACCATGCTATGGCATATTGCAGGATATCTGTGCATATGCCAAACTACACG